TAATTGGTTTGCCCCAACCTGCAATACCTTATATCATTCACGTTATAATTATATTATACAATAGCTGTGCCCCGCGGTTTCACCCGCGTATTATTACACTGTCCAAGCGAAGTCTGTAACAAAAAGGGCCGTTCATGCATATAAGCCGCGTGAAATTATATAGGCGTTCACTGCTGGTATCTCACGGATCTCATCGGGCGGCTAGGGTTTAAGCGATCGTGCGCGCTCCGAGCAGTGTTTATTATTTTAATTTTTCATTATGTCAATTATGCGTCCAAATAACATGCTATAAAGAGCAAAGTTTATCTTCATAAAATTGTCTTGATAATGAAGTAACTTTCGTTCCTAAAGATTAATATGCCATGGCGAATAATAACGCTCATAAATCACTTTTTAATTTTCAATATTTTTTTGTCACAAAATACCTTATTGTGGCTTATGTATAAGAAATAGGCATATGGTAGCACGGATTTTTTTAGGTGTAGCAAAGACCAATATTTTTGTAGAACATTGTATTTATGTAATACTAAACGTTACGCCAGCACACGCGGATAAAGCAGTTAGAGAGCGCCTTTTCTTCCGACTTGTTTAACAAAAATCAATATTTAAGACTAGCTGAGAGTTGTAGGCTAATGCTAGATAGCCTATACTATTTCTCATGAATCTGGCTGTAATATACAAAAAGAATTTTTCAAATCGCACTGGTAGTTCCAGAGATTAGCGCGTTTAAACAAACAATTCTACATTGGTCAAACACAGTCGTACAGATAATATAGCTTGCTTTCTCAGTTAATTATTTTACAATACAATACAATAACTTTATTTCAGGCATCAAGGACTTAAAAATTAAGAACATTGGCCCATAGCAATATATACTGTTTAGGCAAAAATATTATACATTTGAAACGTAATTCTTTTAACGTGCGTTCGTAGCATCGGTACAGCAAGGTCACCCGCCCCCCACCCGGCCGCATTAAACAGCGGTATCGGCCAGATTTCTCGACGAGCATTGTAAAGTTTTTTGCGATCTATACTTTCTTAACCTAAAAATATATATAAAATATAGACATAACACTATTTAGGGAACTTTTTTCTTTGGCACGTCCCTGTATCGGCGAAACACTACCCCAGAGGGCTAGAAATCGGGAGCAAGGAATGTCTCTTTATGTTTTGCAGGAACCTGGAGTACGTAGGATTTGAAGTTCGTTGACCTATTAGACTCCAGACGCTGCAAATGTAAAGAGATCGTATCCTCAATGCGGCATCGGCTTCGTTCTTCCACGAAACGCAGGACGTCTTCTCCCTACGTACTTTTGTCCAAACGGGAGATGTAGAGTTGTATGGTTGGCTCCACAGCACGCAGAGTTGTACTCGTGTTTATTTTCGCGGTCCCACGCTGGTTACAGACGGGTCGCGACCGACGTTTCTTCTCAACAAGAGTAAACCCGTCCTTATCAATTTTGTCTTGGGTCACCACTGGAACTGATTTTATTTCCACATTCCTCCGCTTTCGACCACAAGAGGGTGCCGGTTGTAAAGATTTTCGGGCAACATCCGCAAACGTCTTCCCTTGTTTTGAGGTTGGCTTCGGCGGAGGAGTACCAATGGGTTCAGTCAAGGGTTGAAGTGGTGATGCAATGACGACCGAGGTCGCCCTAGTTTCTCGGTCATCAACCCGCTAACAGACGGTATCAACGAAGTCAGGGTTTTTAACACGCTTTTATTAGCTTGGTATGTATCTGTGTAACGGAATTTTTGAATGTGATTTTCATCTAATATTCTTGTAATTATTTTTTTAATATGATTATGAAACTAAATTACATTAAAATCAAATTTTTATTATATAATAAAAACTATAATAAGAAAAAACTAAAACTAGTAACTTTATTATCGTACAGCCCTACTCCCCACCGTATCGTGCCAAGAACGCTGGTTGCGTTTCCCCGCTGAATGGTTATACTTAGCCTTTGAGCGAGAGACTTCAAACGTCGGATTGATTTGAAACTTCGCACACTTCTCAAGGACCGATGACAATGCAATAATTTAAATAGTTTGACCAATTAACCTTGCCAGGATCCTCAGGATTAATTCATAAAACAGCTACGATTTCTGCCAGTTCAATTTACTGTAAGCCGCGTAAAAGAACTTCGTTCCAAAAAAAAAACGTTTAGTTAGCCGCACTAAAAAATATAAAATAAATTATAGTTAAAAAAAACATTTTTTGTAGATAAGAACTAAAAAGTAGAAAATAATTTTCAATAAGTTTAAAATAAGAAAATAGTGATGTAATTTGTTGTAAATATTTTTTGTGGATATTTGTAAAATAAGCGTCATCGTAACAAAAATATCTGGAGAAGCTTTTTTCACAATAAAATGAATTTTTCAATTTTCATATTTTAAATTTATTGAAAATTATTTTCTACTTTTTAGTTCGGTTATCTACAAAAGCGTGTTTTTTTAGTTTTTTTAAACTATAATTTATTTGTTTTTAATGATTGGCAGACTTAGTTCTGCAGCATATGCTATAAAAAAAAATAGAAGTCTAACCAGTGTTGAAACAGCTAGACTAGTTTACTTTAGCTATTTCCATAGCATAATGTCGTATGGTATTTTGCTATGGGAACACGCAGCTGACACTGAAATTATATTTGTTTTACAGAAGAGGGCCATAAGAGCAATTTATGATTTAAAATCTAAAGAGTCGCTGCGACAAAAATTTAAGGAAATTAATATACTTTGGCCTCTCAATACATTTATGAAAATGTAATGTACGTACACAAAAATAAAAGTAGTTTTACAAACATAAAAGATATTCATTCTGTAAATACTAGGAACAGACACAAGCTAGTAGTACCAGTTACTCGACTCCATCGAGTCAGTAATTCATTCTTGGGGCGATGTATACCCTTTTACAACAAAATTCCAGAAAATATACAAAGTTTGAACTGCTCAAAGTTCAAAATCTTTATTAAACTATGTTTGTATAAAAAGGGTTATTATAATATTAAGGAATTTATGGATGATAATAACCCCTGGAAATGAGGTGATCGCTACCAAGCTATTTCTAATTTGTTGTGTTGTTAATTTGTGTAACATCATGATTGTAATGCTGTTATTTAAAAAAAAAGTCCCGCTGGGTTTCTTGCTGGTTCTTCCCAGGACAGAGGTTTTTTTCCGAACCAGTGGTAATCAAACAAAAGAGTGACTTTCATTAAGTATTATTTATAATCTATATTGAATAAAAAAGTTTCTGTTTCTGTTTGTCCCATTGATTTATAATGTACTACGTATAACGTACGCAGTACATTATAATTTATAACTCAATGCTTTGTCCTATCCTTTTTCGGTAGATGGCGTGAAGAGCTTCAGTCCGAATTTACTTTACGTTTAGTGTAATTTAAAAAATGATTAATACTACATCACAGCCGCCCCACCTATCGAATTCTGGATTTTTTGTCATTATTTTTCGGAACCTCAGGTCAACCACAGAGTGCAATGTAACTTTGTATACAACGAAAACACCAACACAGTAGTTAGACGGAACGCTGCGCACATTTCAAATGTGCTGAAACCAAGCTTGACTTTTTAACACGCACTCACGCACACATCTTTTTGAATTGAATTGAATAGAATACAATAAGCGGGCTGTTTTCCGCAACTCCACGTCTAAGCGCGTATTTTGCGTGTGGGCAGGAATATTGTATTTATTCGAGCCATAATTTTTTATATTTTTTCTTTCTGTTTATCAGACCGTAAAAGTTCACTGCGCATATGCAACTAAAACCTTGTAGTTGGTTGCAAGTAGTATTAGATGCTTAAATGTACTAAAGTTAATCATGTTTTTACAATAAGTTGAGCAGTTTTGGCTTGGTTTTTGCACATTTGCACTTTAAAATGTATACAGCGCTCCATCTTTCTTTATTATGTGGTATCAGTTCGGTTATAAATTATCATAACATATTGTAAATATGAGTAATTTTGGTCCATAAATATCTAATTTCTTAATAACTTACTACAGCGTCACATATCGAATCATAAAGAGCTATATGAACCATTGTCTGCAAAACAAATACCCAAAGTGTATAGTAATATACAATAAATATAATTTTATGTAAATATGACCTCAATCAATCAAGTCAAAGATAAGTTAAAAATCACTAACAGATACACCAATTATAAATATAAAGATTTTATGTGAATACTTTCATAAGTAGTAAAATTGATTGTAGTAGCCACCAATATAGGTTGTAATGTAAAAACAACAATCTAGAACATATTGCCTCCCTCTTACACATGTTATGCACTGAGATACAACCTGTGGATACAACAATTCTTTGTAGAATATATATGGCATACATGTAGCAGTGGACTTAGATTGAGTATTACAGCCATGATAAAAATAAACTGACTTATTTGGTCCTTTCAATGTAGAAGTGCTTATAGCCAATAACAAATTATTGTTGCTGCCAAGCCGTTTATAAAATGAATTTACTTTTTCAGTTACAACACTGGTAAAAACACTATTTACCAAAATTCAGAATGGTTATACTGGTAGTTTAGATGTAAACATCAACTTACGAGTACCAGAAATGCACATCAGGTATCAACCAAGTGTACTGCAAGAATTAAAGTGGGCTTGGCCTCAGTACTTTTCTTTAGTAGCAGTCTTTTACTGGTTATTTAACAGAGTGAAGAGATTCGTTTTCAGTAAGCGTCTATTAATGGCATGGGAAATTGTGCCTTGGAAGAAAACAAATTGAGATAAGAAGATGGATTAGTGTGATATATAAGCAAACATTTCTACCAAGTACTTACCCATGAATACAAAGGTCAACAAATGATAAGTTGTTACTTTTTTATATTGGAAGATAATATTTATCCTCTTTTATTACAATAACCTAATAATAAAACTAATAATAATTTAAAAATAGTGTTTATGTTTTATTCTACAACTTATCTAATTAATTTACAATTTACATTTCTGAATTGAAACAACAATTTTACTGGGTCAGTGTAAGTGCGGGCAGATGACTTCCAAACTCTGGCTTTGTGTGATCCAGTTCAGCTCGGTTATCCTCAATAATAAATGTTTTTCCACTATAGTCATCCAGCTGTACCAATAGATAGCGACACATGTAGTTTCCAAATTCATTCTGAAACAGTTGCATATAAATAATAATTGTCCTAATAAAAATTCCTGCTAAGTACTCTCAAAATACAGTTTTACTTCATTTCATTCTACCCTGAATTTATTTTCTCAATGTAATTAACCCTTTACAGACATTAGTGGTACCACCACATACCATCAGGTGAGGAATTAAATAGTAGTAGCAAGCAAAAGCTTATTATAGATTAAAAACATCAGAATGAATATTGATGTCTAGGTACCTTTTAATCAATGTTTAGAGATTGTGGTAGAGTCATGTTGCAGCTATATATCTGGTATAATTATAGAACAAATGGGTCGGCTTGACCAAGGAAGGACCACGCTCTCACAGAATAGCAGCATAAAATAGCAGCTTAACACTGCTGTGTTTTGTATGGTAAGTGTAGAGAAATGGGGACCCCTTTTACTGGAAAGGAGGCATTCTATCTTAGTCCTCAAGGGTGACAACCCATCTGTATTTTGATTCATAGTTGAGCATGGATGTAGATGTCTATGGGCCACAGCAACTTACCTTCAGGTAGACTGTGTGGTCGTTTGTCACCCTTATCCTATATTAAAAGAAAAGTTACTTGTCTGATGAAACTCTTATATTATGGGGTATTGTTATAAATTAATTTGCTTAATTCCACGTAGAGAAAGAAAATTATGTGTCTTTCCCGAGTTTGAAGGGGACCTTCCACCATCCCTCAATCGTGTGTACTATACCCGTCACCGTCAATTCCAGCACTACCATCCTCAGCACCACCACACTAGGCACGACACACCACTCTCAAAAATACGACATGTGATTCGCCTCTACATGAATCATCCTCAGGTGAAGTAGACTCTGTGGAGGCTGGCCGCTAAGTGAGTGGCGAGCCGAAAGGACTACTTGAAGGGTATAGTGCACGTGATTGAGGGAGGGTGGGAGGTCCCCTTCATACTGGGCAGGACACATCATTTTCTTTCATTGTGTGGAATTAAGCAAATTAGTTTATAACAATACCCCATTATAATGGATTTCTGCAAAGTAACACCTGATTCTATTAATTAACTCTTATATTATTTGCCATTGTTGTGAGTTATAAACAGCACAGAAGATATTAAATTGTACAAGCATCTTTGTTAACACATAGGCACCCATAGATATGCACCAAGACATCAGCTTTTAATTTATACTGATTATATTAACACAATAAAATAAAACCAAATGTGAAGCATCAAACCAGCCAACCATTATTTGCACAATTGCCGTGCTGAATACCAATTACTTCATTTTGAACAATTGTTAGTGCTCGGGGACTGGGATAAATAAATATTAGTCATTACTGAAACTGAAGACCTCCACTGCACTAGATTGACACAATCATGTAGGTATTCTAGCAATAAGCTTGACATGATTCCCAAATCAATCAAAAATAATGCTTATATAATATCATTGCCATAACTAATTTATGAAAGAGCAGAGGCTTTATAAGTTTAGGTTTAAAATGCTTTTAAAACATAACATGATTTCTTAAAGCATGACACATTTAGGGCTTACACAAGAGTTTAAGAATAATGAATGTATGAACATTAAACAAATCCAAAACATCTAACAATTTTTTAATATTATATCTATTTATATTAAATCACAGATATTTTAATTGTTACCTTTTTCATATCTAACTCTACAACCCCTTTATTTCTTATTCCTTTAATGTAAAATCGCATTCGCATATGCTTAACACCATCTTTTTCGTAAATAGCATGACTAACATGTGTGCGTCTTCTTCTAGTTGTTTCTTCTCCATAACCTTTAATAGGAGCTCCAAGAGCATCTTCTACTCTAGGATCCTGTAAAGTCCAATTATAATTTTGAGTAAACAAGCTAGGCAGCTAAATATTTTAGTGTGTATTATTATACCTACATTCTTACATTTTTCGAGCGCTGCTGAATAGATGCTATTAGGGCTATTACTTGAGAATAGTTCACGAAATACATAATAAAAAATAACTCCAGTAACTCCAACACCAACCAGAATAACGCCAGTATAGGATACAGTTTTAGTAGTTTCCTTTATCTTCTCACCAAGAGGCCGAACATCAGTAGAAACATCTGCTCTTTCTTGACTCTTAGTCAAATCGCTTGTTTTATTAGTAGCATAAAAACGAGCATACTTTGAATTCGAAATTCTTACTGCCACTGGAACAATTTCAGCTGCCTTGGAAACTCGTATGACTGGAGAGATTTTTGTTATAATAGACATATTGGAATTTTCCAAAAAAAAAATTTAATTGAATTTAAGATTTCTTGGTTTATTCTAAGATTCTAATCATTTATAATATATTGAAGAATTCTAATTATATTTGTATCGCATTCCCAAAATCCCAGACCCAGATAATAATTTATTTTCTTCTATTTTGAAAATAGACTAGAAAATAGTATTTTCTAGTCTACACTGACACTGACAGCCACTGACAGACTGACAGCTCTAAACTATCACAAACATTTTTTTATAACTGGCTTTACGTCTCTGGGTTCTAGCCCTTCTGAGCCTGAAGTTACAATGTATAATAATTATCCTTCATTGTACACTCCTTCACAATGTGTTGATGCGTCACATTGTACAGCCCTTGAGAGATTTTGACGGCAACTTGAGCCAGCAGACAGCTGACAGTTGGCAATGGTATCTAAAGGCGCCTAAGCAGACACCTTATTTTGAGAATCACATCACCATCAGAGCACTTGTTTCACCGTTTCCACTAATAGTTCACATGCGTAGACACTTAATACACAAAATCGCATCACCTTTACACATCAAAGTCCACTTCAAACCATTATTTAAACAACTAGCTTCTGCCCGCGACTTCGTACGCGGATCCTGTTGCTTATGCCAGCGACAACGGGGTCGTCAAAATCGAAGATCTGAAACGTCTGATGTTGAATTGTAAGAATCTGGGGACGGGAAAACAACGTGATTCGCGAGACGATTCGAGACGTTCTAGATCTTTCATTTTTGTAAGTCAACAGGAAATGCCCATCAGACCAAACAACTACGGGTTTTAGAATAGTTAGAGATGACAATGACATATTTTTTTAAATCTTCGTAAAAAAATTCTTCATTTAAAAGAGTATATATATATGTTATAGTATGCTGCTTTTTTTATGCACCGGTATAATTTTGCAGTAATCGAATAGGTTATGGTAATCAGAATATGTTTTTAAACTTGTCTGGAACTATAGTTTTTAAGATGCGTAATTGCAATGAATAAATGTTATCTAAATGTGATTTGAAAGTTCGTCCATAACTAGACAAGCCATATGAAATTTTAGATTCGGCCAGTGATTTATATAATTGTAACAGAATTTTATAGGTGACTTTATACTTAATTATTGAGAATTTTGCTAACATGCTTCGAAGTCCATTACAAGTCCTAAGTAAGTTTGAGTTTCTACCGGTTCTAATTCTGCACAATGACAATTGAATGTCATTTGTCCTTTGTGAAGGCATAGGTGTTCATGCACAATAATGCTAGGTATAACTTTACTCCTATTATGGCTAGAACTAATATACATTAGGTTGATCTTGCTAGCATAAATAACTAATCCTTTCTCATGAGACCATTGTGTTAATATATTAAGTAATTATTTTGTTTATTTTGAAATTTTAGAAACAAAAAAGTCACGTTGTTGATAATTTGCATGAATTTGATAAATATATTTTTTACAAAATATTTTACATGTACGGTAGAGATTGACTCAACTATATCAAAATTAATGTCGAAATTTATCTTGAATGTTTATAATGAATCGATAGACTTGCCTACACAACAAGAAAATAAATCCTTGGCTTACGTTCTAAAATGTAATTTTATTTTGCCGTTTGTCAAACAGATTCTCTCCGAATTCTATAATTAGAAAAAATGGTTAAGGTTCATTTGACGGGTTGGTTGTAATGCAAAGAAGAACTCAACAGTTTGCAGCAAACATTTTCTTGAGAACTATAAAAGAAAAAATAGAATAAAAACAATTTTATTAAAAGAAGTCATTTCTACATTATTTGTACCAGTAAGTAAAATATTGTTATAATAAGCCTTCAAAATTTAACTTTCAAAACTTTAGATAAATATAGATAAAGGTTGAAATTTAGAATCGTTTGGCAGGAGGGGGTAGTGGGGAGGGGAAGGGGAGCGTCCCCTTACTCCCGACATCACTCCCATTAAAAGGTAATACACTGTTCTTGAGAAAAATCAAAAGAAAATCCTATAGACATTTATCGTCTCCGGCAAGAGGGGGGAAGTGGGGAGTAGGAGTGTGCCCTATCAGGGAAAGCCTCTACCCTTTCCTTCTTGCGGAAAAGTATAGTTTATTAGTAATGGTTTTTTTTAAATCATAACCTCACTTTTTTTACACAGGAATATTGACCCAAAATTACTTCTACAATGGCTTCGGCGCAGCAGGGAGTGCAGCCCATTCGCCCTTGCGTAGCGTAACCTTGCGTTTCGCGCCTACGGCTTTACAAAAACACTCTAGGAGTAGGGCAGACAAGACTACGTGGAGTCGGGGCGTGCTAATTCAATTTTAGTACAGATCCGATCAGATCAGATATCTTATCTATAAAGCCAGGTTGCCTTCGCTCCCGCCACATACTTCTAGCCTATTACAACTGAAAGTATATCTGGGTGTTCAAGTATTCCTGGGCAGTTTTAAACAATTCTGAAATAAAACAGTATAATATTATAATCATTTCTTATTTGACACTTAACGAAGAGTATAGACAGTAGAATAATGTGACACTAGTCTTACGTCCTTGTCGCACTTACACAAAATTCTGTGTGCTATTCATCTTTCACAGTAATATTGCATACGTTTTTCCATGTTTTACGCGTTTTAGGTTATAATAGTTTTTATATATTTATTCGATAATGTAATACACCGTATTACCTTTTAATGTGAGTGGTATTATTATAATCGGGGACCAAACCTCTATCAAATAAAACACCTTACTCCCCCAAATTCCTGCCAAACGATTCTAAATCCAACCCTAGATAAGTATAGAGACAGATGTTCATACATTATAAAACTGTAGTATATTAAAGACAAAAAAATCTTGAGATTTTGTCTTTAAGCCACTATGAACCCAACTAAGTATCTATTTATCACCCAAAATAAATGTATAACCTTACTTAAGCAACCACACACCCTCACGGCCATACTAGTACAATATTCATAACATCACGCTATTTTCCCCAAGGGGTTGAGCGGAGCTTCGGAACCTCGGATTATATTCCTGTTGCGCGCCATTATTAATATCTTCTACATGGCAACACTAGTTACCACTAACGCCCTCTAGTATCGAGTAGCAGAACTAGGCAAGTCAAGATCCTTCTAGAAATTTCGGGACCGATATGTACTCGAACATTCTCGATGTTTCTACAGTAGAAGGTTCTGGAAACTATCTGAGGCCCTATAGGGCCTATGAGGCCCTATAAGGCCGGTATAGACCACGACCGAGTCAGTATTGAATTGGCAATACAAGCGTATACTTCTAAGCGATACAACTGCGAACTAAAGTGATATGTAGTACAATTGTGTTTTATTATTAGTGTGGTTTTAAGTTGTAATTAGTCTTCTGTAATTAAAGTGTCAATTTTGGTAATTCACTCGGCAGTTTTTAATTGTCTCGAACCCCAAGCTCGTAACATTCCCAAGTCACAATGACAAAACTTTTAGCGTAGTTTGGTATAGATATTTAGTAATGATCGTATAATAGTATAAATTCCATAGTATTTGATACTCACAACGGTCGATGCCCAATTCATGCTTGATGGCCTACGATATTGTGCCGAGGGCTTAAATAGCTTGGTTCATCGCTTACAGCGTTAGTCGTAGAGAAGAGGAACTCGTGGTTAAGTAATAACTGCGCAGATCAATATATCTGCGAGATTAAGTTGCATTTGCCGCGGTCAGTCCATGAATGAGTGATCGTTTTCTTAACATACCGAGATTGAGAGAATAGAGAGTGCATCTGTATCCTCAGACACTTAGTCCACTTTACTGTGTTAACATCATTATGTTTTTAAAATTCATTCAGCTAAAACAATAATAAGTTTATTATTACTTTATACTTTTCAGGGACAGATGAAAGAATATAAACATGAAGCATGATGAAGCCTCATAAACATATTGGTTTTTAAGCAGAGCAATCTTATTTAACTGATTCCTACAAGTTTCCTTCCTTGAATTATTAAGTTTACATTTATACTTAAGCCAAATGTTAAAATAAAGTTCTATAACGTATTTAATTATTAATTATTAAATGTTTATAATTATCACAAATAATACTTATATGAAAAATAAAACAGCCTTTATGTACTCCGTGTCCCCGTTTTTATTTCCCCATCAAAACATTTTATAAAATATATAAAATATAAATAAGTATATACATAGTTAAGTATATCTACCTATTTATATTAACAATATGTTAAAAAAGAAATTCCGGTGAAACTGCCTAAGGCAGTAAATATTTTTCCCCAAAGATCATAGCTCAAAAATACAACTTTCCGATCTGATTATTGGGAACTTTTTAAGTTTATCGGTAACTTCACCTGGGATTTTATACATTTTAATTGAAATCAGACAAAAGGCAGATAGGTTCAGTTTATTCCCAGGAACATGTTATATGAATACTTTTTAATTATTTTAGAACTATTATGGTAAAATTCAGTTAATTTTTGAAGTTATTCAACTTCATGCATTAAACACTTTTTTAAATCCTTTTACCGCTTTCTTAACAATTATTTTCGATAGTCCTTGTAAGTAAAATATACATCACAAGCTAACGCACACAATAACAAATCAAAATTGGTCTTGCGTTTTCGGGCTGTCAGGTGTCTATGGTTTCCACTAATAGTACACATAAATGCAGACACTTAATACACAAAATCACACCAATTTTACATATCAAAATCCACTTCAAACCATTATTTAAACAGTAATACCAACAATCCGCCGCCAGTCAAGTTTCCACCAAAACTCTTCTATCACAAACAGAAACACTCACGCGCAAAAAGTATAGTATCATGCGTCAAGCATCATATTAGTCTGTAATAGTTACCTCCCTTATATATTACTGAGTTTAGGCGGGAACTTGACTGTATTATCTATACTTATAATAAATCTGTAGAGAAGTCAATTTTGTACATGAAATATATTTCCAAAATAACTATCAGGGGGTGATTAGTGATCGATACTGATGCCAAAAAT